CTGAACATTTGACTTGTCTTCTCTTTCAAGATGAGATTTTATTCTTTCAATGCCATATTGTGAATTAAATATAAACTTCTATACATTAACAGCCACATTTTAGATTAAATATTGGGGAATATGAAGTAGAAATGTCAGTACTAATTTGAGTTTTAAATGAACTGAAATAATTTTATAACTTAAAATTCTAATTAATAGTTTTCATTCATATAGCAACCTGAAAATGAGCTTCTAAGAATTTATTTTTCAACTTTTAAATATAAATGAATTGAGAAGACCGCAGAAGAAGGACTCCATGAGAGGGGAGACAGCTATAGTAAAACAGCTGTCAAAAGTCCTGGATTCTGCCGAAACCAGTTTGGCTCAGTGGTAGAGCGTCGGCCTGAGGACTGAAGGGTCCCAGGTTCAATTCCGGTCAGGGGCATGTACTTTGTTTGCAGGCACATCCCCGGTGGGGATGTGCAAGAGGCAGCTGGTCGATGTTTCTCTCTCATCGACGTTTCTAGCTCTCTCTCTCTCTCCCTTCCTCTCTGTAAAAAATCAATAAAATATATTAAAAAAAAAAAAAAAAAAAAAAGAGTCCTGGATTCTGGTCCCAATTAAGTCATTACTATGGGACATTACTTTGGATATGCCATTTAACTTCTTTGTGACTCAATTTCTTTCTTGAAAATTAAAAGGGCTTGAGCTGCTTTAAAATTATAATATTAATGAGTTAGTGGTTTAGAATATAATGAAAAAAGCAGATTTAAGTTAGAACACTTAAATTTAAAAAAGAAATCACTGGGACTCATGGTAAGAGAACTACTAAAAATAGCACTTGGACTAATGAAAATTATCTTCATTTACATGAACCTCAAAATTATTGCTAAGAAAGAAAATCCAAAATTACCCAATTAATTGTTAATTCGAAATTTGAAAGATAAAAAGGACTTTGGTGGTATATAATGCTGCCTATATTATATTAACAACTACCATATAAAAATATATATAGCTGAAACCGGTTTGGCTCAGTGGATAGAGCATCGGCCTGGGGACTAAAAGGACCCAGGTTTGATCCCAGTCAAGGCCATGTACCTTGGTTGTGGGTACATCCCCAGTAGGGGGTGTGCAGGAGGCAGCTGATCGATGTTTCTCTCTCACTGATGTTTCTAACTCTCTATCCCTCTCTCTTTCTCTCTGTAAAAAAAAAAAAAAAATCAATAAAATATATATATAAAAAAAATATATATATATATATTAGTGTAGTGTCTAGAACTTAGGAAGCATTCCTTAGAGTTATTATTTCTATTTGTTTTATCACAGCATTCAAGTCACTATACTTTTGAATCTTTATTCTTTAACCTGTAATATTATTTTCCCCCAATAGCATCATGTAATAAATTTGGTAATATTTCTTCTATATGAAAATTAGTAATAAAATTAGATATGAGCAGGGTTGTAGCCTACAGAACCCAGCTGAAAATCTTTCAGAATAAAACCAAATCATCATGAAATAGAATTAGTAAGTTTTAAGAAAGGTTAATCATACAGTCAAAATCTAACAAACATCTACATCATATTTTATGCATAAGGATGTCATGATAAACTGGATTAATACTTTAACAAAGATAAATATTTTAGGACTATTTTTATATGAATTTAAATAATAAAAAGCATTACAAACTTTCATACTTCCAAAGTTTTACAAAATTTAAATAAGGAGCAAATAAAAAATTAGTAACAAATCTTATTTTCTAAATGACTTACAGAAATTTCTAACACTACAGAAAGTTATTGATTTTGAAAATGTTCTTTAAAATTTACTGACAAAAATTAATCATAAGATATGAATAGGCCAAACAAATCTCTGTAATATGTACTACATGCATGTACCTTTCTTTAGGAATGCTGCTACTGAATTACATTCTGCTATATTTTTTGCTGTTAAAATCACTAGACTGAAGTTATGTCTTCTTAGGCTGCTCTTATGCATGAACAACAAAGTCATTGTCAGTATCATTTATCTGATTTAGCTATCAGTCAAGAAACGAACAATGAAGCTAGGCTATGGGTAGATGGGTTAGGGGACTGTACTGTTTGCTCTACTTTCCTTGGAGTCTGGTCTTCAAGGAAAGTAGACTTTCAGATACTGTACATTATGTTTGGGTGATGGGTACCAAGATGGCCTCCATAATCTGGTGCTAGCACAGAACCTAATATGAGCCATGCAGATAGAACATGTCCATAACCAGAAGATCTAGTTGCAAATCACACAATAAATTTGTTTTTGAATCCTTCAATAAATTGTCTTAAGAAGTAAGGTTGTATAGTGTCGAAGAGGACAAAAAGTAGAGTCAGACTACTTGGGCGTAAATCCTGGCTAACTCTCAAGTTTTCTCATTAGTCAAATAGGAAAAAAAACAAGTAACTTGTTGAAGTTACAGAGTAAACTGCCCTTCATCGGCAAACTGTGGCTCTCGAGCCACATGTGGCTTGCTGGCCCCTTAAGTGTGGCTCTTCCACAAAATACCATGGCCTGGGCGAGACTATTTTGAAAAAGTGGCGTTAGAAAAAGTTTAAGTTTAAAAAATTTGGCTCCCAAAGAAATTTCAATTATTGTAAGTGTTGGTATTTGGCTCTGTTGACTAATGAGTTTGCTGACCACTGAGTTAGACTGTGAAAGCGAGAATGGCATTCTGCAACCCACTCTTTTCTCCCTACCCTCTCCAGTATGACAGCAACTGTCCTTACTTTCAAAGAGTAGGTGAAACTAAGGGACAAATTTTCAGAGCCAAAATATTCTGTCAGCCTTTCGCACAGGGTGGTTCTCTTACCAGTGCCATCCTCGGGTGTTTTAAGCTTAATTCTTATGCCTTCCTTTATTAGGCCATTGCATAACTGCCTAAAGCTGAAGCTATAAATGTTTGTAGATTGGGAAAGAAGAGAGGTGATCATTTTATGAGGTTCAAAAATGAGCAAGTATGAAATTGGATGATAGGAAACAGTGAGTTAAGAATGCCCAAGGAGTCTTAACACTTTTGACACCATAAATTTCTCATGGAAAACATATTTCCACAGAGAGGTCCTCAGGAGATGGATTTTTTCCAAATGTTCAATGACATTTTATGTGCTTCTTCAATAGCATATCTTATGCTAAGTCTTATTACAAAACCTGATGTTAAAATAGGGAGATAATTGTGTCATTTTTTTTAAATGGCAAAAACTTTATAGTCTAAAATGGGCAGTCTCCATTTGAATAAAGAACAAATTTAGAAGTGAGCTTTTCTTCTATATACCTTGGGATATATCTTGGGATTAAAAAGACTCTGAAAGATTCCAACCAAAACCAAAATTATGTATAAAATAGAAAATTCAACAGTCGTTTCTGAAGATAAAAAAATAACTATACATTACTGCATAACCAACAAAGTTTGAAATGATAATTAAGGTTAACATTTCCCAGTGAATATAACTATAAAAACTAGCATGACAAAAAGAAAAACTTTCTAATAACATAAAAATAAAGTGAGACATTATTAAAGAAGTATCCTTTCAATAATGTTCTCAGTCCTAATAAATTTGTTAAATGATGTCTTTCAAATATTCAAGCTCAGTCATTCCATGATACATATTCCATTTAAAATACGAAAGGAAATGAAAGGTAGTCATTATATTTAACAAAGGAAATATAACCCCAGTATAAAAAATCAGACATAGAAATTATTCCAAAAATTTAATTATGTATAGTCACTTTCATGAAAGGTAAAATTTCTAAGTAACGAAATTCTAAAAATTCTTTGGTAAATTATGTGTAGCAAAGTCCCTACTAACTGTTTACATTATATAACAGCAAATAAGCTCTAAAATATTAAGATAGAATATACTATAAAGAACATTTGCTGTGAAGTATTACGCTGTACTGTTAGTACATAATTTAAATAATTTAATTATTACCCAATGATTCACTAAAATCCCACAAATACAAAGAGGTAAAACAATTGATTATCCACAAATGAGTCCTTTGCCCAAAAATAGACCACCTTATTTAAAAAATGACCAGAGGTGCTAAATCAGCCAACGTTAATATTACTAAACAGGGTTCAATTTACAAAATGCTGACAATATGGACACTACTTCTAAGAATGTTTACAACTTAACTTCACTATATAGCAAACTTTAACAGTTGGGGAAAAAATAAATCTATTTCAGTTGCCTAGAAAGTCATCCAATTTAATACAATTCAAAAACTATATGATGGAAATTTTTGAGGAAATAAGTAATATAGTAACAGGACAATAAAAATTTTGGATTTAAATAAAAAATTGAATTATTCTCTTTTCAAAATATGGTGTACCTTAAGCCTTCACAAATTTTAGAGAATATTCAAGTTTTTATGACCAAAAAAACCATTTGATTATGTCCCCAAAGTTTAGTTATATATCTGTCCATCATTTTTAAACTTTGAAAACCTTAGAGTGCGCAATTCACTTCAAAGGACATTCATGAAGACAAAGTGATTAATATAAAATAGTCTCTATCACTCATTTTTACTGGGAGGGGGGCCCCTAGAAAATTTTCATTAACTGAAGGATAGTGAAGATTACAGATTAAAAGAGTCAGTCTTTTAGAGAAGCATTTCCTTGAAATTTAGGGTTTTGATAATATGAGGAAAATGGAATAAAGGTAGAAAAATGTAAATAAAACTCTAAGATATTTAAAACTTGAGGGTATAAAATTATATTACTAATGTAAATTGAACCCTGCTTTATTTTAAAGTAGAGCAAAAATGAAAATTAATAGAATAATTCACACAAGTCAGAGGAAGAACTGCAACCCAATTTAACTGATTTTTAATAATTATTGCCCTGAGTTCAGAAGAAATACAGCCCAAGAGATTGTTTAGCACAGAAATAACAAATTAATATATACAAATGCAATGCATTAGATAATTTTTTGGTATTGAGTTAACATTGCATATAGCAAGAATTAGAAACAAAACAGAAATTTCTATTTCCTACCTATATCACTGGCTACCATCTTGGAAAACTTTCTGCTTTTGGTCTTCACTGAAAATAATATTTTGATATAAATGTCAAAATCTAGTCAACATAAACTAAATAAATTAAACATAATTAAAATACTTTAAAATAAAGATACTATACCCTTTTCTATAAAATTATTCATTTTTTGTTCATCATCTGAATTGAGTGGTGATGAAGAACCTACACAAATGAAGACAATGGAAGGAACAGGCAGACAGTCAGTCACAAACACTGAGTTGTCACAGGGAAAAATACAAACAAAATAATCTGGTAACCTCTAAAACAAGTTTCTATATGACTGGCCACAAAGAAATGTCATGTATATAGTTAACAAGAATTATAATATTACAGTAAGAATGGAAATCAATATTGCATTATCTATCATGGTAGACCAATTTCTAGTATATATAAATAACAATTCTAATTTATAATATTTTTAAAAGTTACATCCATTGGGCAAAATTTTGGTAAATACTGTATGTCAGAAAACAGAAAAAGAAAAATATAAAGTAGAAGTTAACTGTCCTGAAAAAAATGTAAAGTTCTTGATATTAGTTAACTGAATAAAGTTTATCTAGTAGAACTCAGAATCCTGTACAAGTACTAGACTAGTAAAACTGAGAGTTAGCTTTCTAGATACAAACTTCAAACGAATATACAAATTCAATTATTACCATAAAAACCTTTAAAATACTGAGGGTAGTACTTATAAGTTCAGCTATGTTCAAATACTTATTTAAATTTATAAGGTTAAGACATATAAAATTTTATTTCAGCTATGACTTCTAATATTATTTTATTTTTAAAGAGAGAGAGGAAGGAGAGAAAGAGAAACATCCATGCCTCCTGTCTGAGCCCTGCCTGGGGATTGAACCTGCAATCCAGGTATGTGCCCTGACTGGGAATCAAACCTGCAACCTTTTGGTGTACAGGACAATTCTCTAACCATCTGAGCCACCTGGCCAGTGCTAGTAATTTTTATAATTATAATTTTATTTTTCATTTTCTTTAAAAAGGTGTTTCTAATTTTTCATACTATCGATATTTCTTTAATTTCGAACACTTAACTTTTATTATAAATGCATTCCTAAGTAGTATTCTAGTTGTCTCTTATTAGAATTAAACTATTCTTTATAAAAGTTAAAATGATCTCATTAAATTTTTCAATCCTCTAAGCCACGTGTCAAACACAAGGCCCGCGGGCCAAATCCGTCCCGCCAGGCCTTGCAATGTGGCTCGCACCGCGCTGTCATCACTGCACTCCGCTGCGTTTCCATCACAATGACAGTTTATGACTGTTCAGTAAACCATTCAGCCCGTGATTTAGGCTGGATTTGAGATTTTGGCCCCTTCTCTGATTGAGTTCGACACCCCTACGTCTAAGCTGTAAATAAATCACTCTTATTCCTATGAATTCCCATAACACTTTATCTATTGTTAATCAATTAATATCTTATATTTTAAATTTTCACACATAGGACCTTTCCCCTGGACTGAATTTCTGAAAAACTGGTCCCCAATTGATTTATCTTTGCATCCCCTTGGCACTCAGTGCAACTTTTACCTCCAGAAACCATTAAGTAAACATTTGCTGAAAGAATAAAGCTTTTCTATTAGAAGCAAATAACCCAAATAGAACTGGCAATAAATAAAAACATTTTTCTGTTTTTATTTCCTTTTTTATCCCACTGAAAGTGCTGAACCTTAATAAATAAGGTCAAAATTTCCCTCGTGACAATAACTTGTGAAGTTGCTTTTCACAGACCAAGTAAAACCTGCCAACAATGGCAAAATCCAATCACTTTATAATAGTCTTAAAAGATTATTCTTTAAAAACCATGTACTTTTGCTAAATAGCATTTATAGGTTCTCATAAATCCTATATTAAAAAATCACATAAGTAATATTTAGCTCAGTGACATTTTTAGGGATAGAAATAACGTATTTGTTTTTCATATAAATATAATTCAGATGTAAAGAAGAATGTGGTTATGATACAATGCTATATATTTGATAAAATCACTGTCATTTCTGATACTAACTACAGTCATATGAATGTACAAAAGTTATTAATACTTTTTTCATATATTAGAAAGTAGAGCAGTAACAAGATAATATATCTAAACATAAGTATAAAACTATATGTCTAGTATTTCTATAACTGTACATTTTAAAAGCAGATTTATAGATTTATCCCCTAACTAAAAATGCCCACCACTGCTTATCATTCTTCTGTGATATCTCATGAAAAAGTTCCAAAATTATATTGAGCATACCCTACTTGAATACATTTACCAAATTACTATGATTAAATAAACATAGAAAATATACACAGCCTTTAGTTTTTTTTCCTAGGGTACATGGCAATTCATGAAGGCACCATTTATATCATGATATGTGTGGCTTTTGGAACTTAAAGTAACCTAATAAATGTGGTTTTTAAAAAATCATTTTAAGGTAAATACACACACAAATTTCGAATGCAGTGCTAAAATAAAAATTCCAGCACTACTAAAGTGTTCAGTGAAGTAATGTGAATTTTTAAAAATAAAGATCAAAGAGATAGAAGTAATAATTTTCAATGTTAATCCAGGAAGGCAGAATTAATTTTATATTTCAGAGAAACTGATTATCCTATATAATAAAAGGGTAATATGCAAATCGACCAAATGGTGGAATAACCGGGTGTTATGATGAGCACTAAACACCAGGGAGCAGATTCTCAATGCAATAGCTGCCCCCTGGTGGTCGGTGAGCTCCCACGGGGGGCGTGGGGGGAGTGCCACTCAGCCACAAGCCAAGCTGATGGCTGGTGAGCATAGCAGCCCGCGACCACAGCAGCACTAAGGATGTCTGACTGAAGCTTAAGCCATCAGTCGGACATTCCTAGACTGTGAAAGGGAACCCCCCCACCCCCCCCCGCCGTTATGCACGAATGCCATGCACCAGGGCTCTAGTTTAAAAATAAATGGGGAAAGAAAACTATTTTTAATATAACTTTGACACTGACTAAACTGTTATCACAAATCTTGATCAAGAGATTTAAAAATTTTTCAAAAAAGTTCCTCTTCATTTGTATATATTATTTTGAGTAAATACACTTGTTTTGATAAAGGGCATATTCATTTCTATAATATTGGTCCTCCTTAGTATTTGAGGAGCTCATTTTAACTTTCAACCCACTGTTATACACTTCCTTTTCTCTCATTGATACAAAGAGTTTTCTATTGGGTCGGCAACTACGTAATTGCGGGTTTCACACATATATGGCTTCAGTTGAATTTTTAGGTTTGCAGTTATAGTACAAATGTAAAACACATTTTGTTATTTGATAGTTGGCTATTCAGCTGTTAATCAGTAAAAAAAGTTTTTTGATCTGTTTTGTAGTTTTCGTTTGGCGTTCGTTGAAATATGGAAAATCAAAAGGAACATTTTCGTCATATTTTGCTTTTTTATTTCCGCAAAGGGAAAAACGCATCGCAAGCTCACAAAAAGTTATGTGCTGTTTATGGTGACGAAGCCTTAAAAGAACGGCAGTGTCAAAATTGGTTTGCCAAATTTCGTTCTGGTGATTTTTCACTCAAAGATGAAAAACGCTCTGGTCGTCCAGTTGAAGTTGATGACGCCCTAATCAAAGCAATAATCAATTCGGACTGTCACAGTACAACACGTGAGATTGCAGAGAAGCTTCATGGATCACATACATGCATTGAAAATCACTTAAAACAACTTGGCTATGTTCAAAAACTCGATACATGGGTTCCTCACGAACTGAAAAAATCAGTTAACGCAACGCATTAGCAGCTGCGATTTGCTAAAGAAACATAATGAAAATGGTCCATTTTTAAAACGACTGATAACTGGCGATGAAAAATGGGTTGTTTACAACAATATCAAGCGGAAAAGATTGTGGAGCAGGCCAGGTGAACCAACTCAAACAACATCAAAAGCTGATATTCATCAAAAGAAGGTTTTGTTATCAGTTTGGTGGGATTACAAAGGAATTGTCTACTTTGAACTCTTACCACCCAACCGAACGATCAATTCTGATGTCTACATTGAACAACTAACGAAATTAAACAATGCAGTTGAAGAAAAGCGGCCCGAATTGACAAATCGAAAAGGTGTTGTATTCCATCATGACAATGCAAGGCCACACACATCTTTGGTCACTCGGCAAAAATTAATGGAGCTTGGTTGGGATGTTTTGCCACATCCACCATATAGTCCTGACCTTGCACCATCTGATTACTTTTTGTTTCGATCTTTACAAAACTCCTTGAATGGTAAAAATTTCAATAATGATGATGATGTCAAATCGTACCTGATTCAGTTTTTTGCTAATAAAAACCAGAAGTTTTTTGAACGTGGGATTATGATGCTGCCTGAAAGATGGCAAAAGGTCATTGATCAAAATGGGCAATACATTACAGAATAAAGTTATTTAGTTCCATGAAAAAATTGTCTTTGATTTTTAAAAAATCCGCAATTACTTACTTGCCGACCCAATATTAACTATATTGGTTTTAATAATCTATACTGTATCATTTAACTATCTACTTGTCTTATTTATTTTCCACTGCAGTACAGAAAGTATTTAAAGCTAGTAATTTAATTACTACTTTCCAGGCTTTTAATAACATGATCCCCTTGTGGTGCTTTACATTCACCTCAAACTCACTCCAGCCATTTTTCTTTTCTGATCATCCTAAATTAACAGGATTATGTTCATGAAAGCGATAATAAATTATTCCTTTATCTCCTTATTAGAATGTTAATAGGAATGAAGGCAAACATTACAAATATACAAACAGTAAGACAACTGGCCTATAATAGGTAGCAAAGACTGCTGTTAATTATTCAAAAACATACAAGCAAGTGGAAGACATAAGCTTTTAACAATATAGTGTCAAAAGGGGTAGATTTTCAGAATTTTATTCAGAAATAACTCTAGTCCTGTAAAATGGAAAATACAGTTACCTGCTCCAAATCATTCATTTATATTTTATTCTATCAATGCTCAGACTTAGTATTCTATCAATGCTCAGACTTAGTATTAGGCTTAGTATTAGGTGCTCAGTATGTTAATGATTCCTATGGCTCAATATATTCATTAGTTTGATAAGTGAATTTAAATATGAAATTTAAAGATTCAAGAAAACCAGAAGTTAGGTATATTTTAAGGAATGGTCCACTTGTATATCAGGAAATTACATTTTTAAGAAGAAAACCTTCTGCAAACCTATAACTCAAAATGCTAAACTGAAATATTAGAGAGTGAAGTAAAATATACTTCTCAATATTTCCCATTCTTAGTATTATGATGTAGTAGAACAAGCTAAGTATCAGAATCTAAGAATAATTTACTTTATGCTAAGAACAATCTTTCTAGTAGAAAGTTGATGAAAATTTCTAGCCAGAATGATTTAATAAATATGGTAGTTAAAATTATGAAGTCAACTTTATTAAAGATAAGCAAAGTTTTAATCCACTGAAAAATAATAAATTCAGGATCCTTTTCATCTTACGGAGACTGAAAAGCTACTAAAAGTTCCCCTAAAATACCAATATTTAAATAGGTTACATAAAGCCTTATATATACATAAAAAGGGCAACTGCTTTAATATAACTATAAAATAATATTAAATCTTACTCGATAAAAAATAAGAATATAAAATAGTCTACAATTGTCATAATTGTCAACAGTCACCAGAAGAGTACAAATGTTAAAAATCTTTCCTATTTAATTGGACATTACTGGAAGATTAGAATATTCTTCTACCAAATGATGACAGGCGTGCCTAAAGCAAAGACAAGGTTAGATAACTAAACCATTTGATTCACTGGTAAAAAGTGAAATCTATTTTCTCTAAAAAATGTATAACTAGTAGAAACCTAAGTAAATAGTTATATGGCTCTTAACAGGTAACAGCTGTAGAGTTTTATCTAGGGCCTTTATTTTCACTTAATGAAAAAGCAAAAAATACTGAAATGATTTTTCAGAATATTCGACACCAAAGCTTCTTATAGTTTTATTTTAAATCCGTATCTATAAAATGGAACACTGACATGCTGTGTTGATTTTTGTAGAATTATAATTATTAATGAAATAAAACTCAAATTACCAGACGTTGGAGATTTGCAGCGATCCTCTGGGACTACAGTCCCTTCATTAATATCACACAGACCTGCTAAAAAATAAAACCAAAAACCAAGTCACATCACAAATTTATATAAATGCAGTTTTATTCTACTATTTGTAGTACACATTAAATGACCATCCATTTAAAAAACCCAGAAGATTAATAAACACCTGCTACTATGCTCTAGTTTTGAGATAGAAATGTTAAGTCTTGATATTAAAACACCCCAAATTAATACAGCAATCATCAGTTAAACAAATGAAAAACAGAATTTTCAAGAGTTAATTTGCTATTCTTCAAGAAACATTAGACATAATGCGAGGCTTTGTTTAAAATCAGTAATTTGAGAGGCATATAATTATTACTGGATTTCTCTTGAAGAATAAATACTGGTAAAAAGTCTGGTGATTGTTACATCATAGGGACCCTCAACTCAAAGTGGTTTCCCTATGTATGGTTCAAACACCTCCCTTATATATTTTTGAATAATAATTAAACACATACTTTGTACCTCCAAATCTTTAATTTTAAAATAGTGCACATTACTTATCTTGCAAGGTGGCACCTCTTAAAAACTATGCCAGCACCTTTCTAAAAAAGCTCTAGAGAACTACTTTCTTTTTACAGGTATAAATGAATTATATAAAAATTATCTATAGCATGGCCTAAATTCAGAGGAGAAAACACAGCAAGAAAAGACAAGACATGGCAAATGCAAAGTAAACAATTAGTATGGATATTTTCTTGGTGATTTAAATGAAAAGAATTTCTGCATATTCCTTAAAAATTACAAGTAAACCCATCAAAAGTTTGGCATAGTTGGACAAGACAGAAGAGGTCACACATCTGGGCTTCTCAAAAAATTATGTATCATACAGACCAGTGATTTTCAATCTTTTTCATCTATTGGCACACATAAACTACTAATAATTTGTGACACACCAAAATACATATATATATTTTTGTGGATCTGACAAAAAAAATGGTATAATTTGGATCCATTCATACCCGATGACAAAAGTTGTGTTAGCTGTTGTCATTTTATTATTTTACAATCTAAAAGGAAAGAGGTCAGTGACCCTAACTAAATAGTCAGGTACAGTATATTTTAAAAATTCTTGTGGCACACTGGTTGAAAATCGCTGATGTAGACACATGATCAGTATCTGCTTTTCCATTCCTTTGATGAAAGACATGATGCCACAATGTCTTTAATGTCACCAAGAAAGTTCTGACAGTAATATTTTCAGAAAACATTGAGTACTGAATTGAATTTATTAGAAGTGTTTTCTATTTTGAACACTGTATTATTTGTCTTCATTGCGTAGAAAGTTTTTGAATGACAATCAGTTTTCTTTTCAAAGTTCATCAAACTAGTGTTTCTGGAAAATCTAGTTCTTATAGTTCTAAAGTGATAGATGAAATTATAGTTATGACAAAATATTTGCTTATATAAAAATGATGGTAGGCCTTTAAATAGTAGTGATATATGGTAATAACCTAAATATCTGTTAATGAATGCATAGGATAAGAAAATGATATATCACTAAAAAGAATGAAATTTTGCCATTTGCAACTACATGGATGGACCTCGAGGGCATTATGCTAAATGAAATAAGTTAGACAGAGAAAGACAAAATATTTTATGATCTCAGTTATATGTGAATCAAAAAAACAAAAACTAAAACAAAAGAAAACGAAAAAATCCCCATAAGCTCATAGATAGAAAAAACAGATTTGTGATTGCCAGAAGTGAGGGGATGTGGGGATGGGACAAATGGGTTAATAGGATCAAAAGGTACAAATTTCCTGTTTAAAAAAATAAGCCAAGGGGATATAATATATAATACAACATAGTGACTATCCTCCTATATAATAAGTCTAATATGCTAAGTGCCTGGTCTTCCGGTAATCCACTCAACCAATAAAAATGTAATATGCAAATGACATGCTAAGGCCGTTCAACAGCTCATATTGACGTGCACTGACCACCAGGGAACAGATGCTCCGACTGGCACATTAGCTTGCTGCTGGGGTCCAGCCAATTGGGACTGAGTGAGATGGGCCAGACATGCCCTGCAACCTTCCCGTGGTCCCTCCCTGGCTGGCCAACCTCCCACATCCATTCCTGGCCCTGATTGTGCACCAGTAGGGTCCCTCAGCCTGGCCCGCACCCGCTCACAATCCGGGATCCTTTGGGGGCTTGTCGGAGAGCTGGTTACGGCTTAATCCCACAGGCCAGGCCAACGGACACCACTGGTGCACAAATTCATGCACTAGGCCTCTGGTAGTTAATAATATTACATTGCATATTTGAAAGTTGCACAGAGAGCAGATCTTTTTCTATATTACTGAAAATATTGAACCTACCTGAAAGTACTTGCAATTACATAGTCAAAAACATTTTTTAAAGCTTCCTCTCATATATTTTGGAAATATTCTTCCTAAAGTTTAGATATAGTTTGATACAGCCAGCTAATTACCATCTTTATAATTATCAACTTCCAAGACCAAGTAAGCACATTTTCTCATAAGTCTATTGCTTTCACATTACTAATTAAATCTATTTAGAGTTTAGAATATATTCAGAATAGAAATTTTTCTTTTGTGTCCTTCATGGAGTGAAAAAGTAGGCAGCAAAATTACACACACATTATCACATTTCGCTTTTAGTAGAATTAAGACTAGCAAATATATGGGTAGTTGAAACACTTCAACAGGACTTGTCCATGTGAGTTTCATAAATTTTATTATAAAAACACTATATATTTTAGTCAATGGTTCAATTAAATACAGCTCTGAAATACTTAAACAGTATGTTTTATCTTCTGAAGTAATTTCATAATTTATGAAAATATATTTGTACCTATTGATAGCAAAAATTTATCTATTCAAACTGATCTATTAAAAAAGACAGAGAACAGTTTGACAATATTTGGGCTACACTTCAAGAAAATATTATAAAATACACACTTTAATAAGACTATCATTTTTATATCATTGAAATTAAAGAATTTTAGTACCAATTACTCTCCATTTAATTTTAAAATTAAGACAAACATACCCTTAATGTTAAGGCATATTTTAAAATAACGTTCATTTAATTTAAATACAATCCTAATTATTATTAAAGCAAGCATAGTGACAAGAATTAAATATCTGAAACTGATAAAGAAAAACTCAGATGTTTAGGCACAGGAGGACTAACTCTTCAACACAAAGTGAATCCAAAAGTAATACAAATAATATAGGGTTACTACAGAATAAAGTAGAATGCTATACAATTTAAGAAAGAAATATTTTTTAAATTACACTGTAAAATTTGTCTTTATCCCTGGATACATTTAAGTTTTTGGTTTCTAGCAATTTTATGTAAACTACAATGACCTATCAAGGAAAATAAAAATTAATTTTAGGAGTAATAAAACTTTTCTATGAGTCTGTGGTAAAATTGTTAAAAGTATTGGCTCCCTCCAAAAAACTTCTCTCATAACAAGGTCTGAACTTTGTAACACTAAATATTAGTTTCTGCATAAAGAATCTGGACTAGGATACAAACATTTCAATAGCCATTTTCATATACATTCTATGAAATGAAGTTAAGCAATGATATATTATTCAATAAGTTTTTCAAAAAATAAATGAAGGAAAAACAACAATTTTATAGACAAAAAGTAAATATGCCATGATTTTACTGACAAAGAATAAATAACTTACTTAAAAAAGAATGGAGTTTTTTTAGAGAGTCAAAATAAAGGCTAGAAAGGCCTCACATGCAAGAAGTCACAATCAGCACACCTTAAGTCAAGCAATGGAAAGTGTGAGGGAAACAAGGAGACAAAGATACTAGAAAGGTATATCTGGGACAATTTCTGCTGAAGACAACACATGACAAAAGGATTACACACACAAACAAAACTGCGGGGGGAGGGGAATTCAACAAGATACTAAAGTCTACCTGCCATCAGCTTTTTTCCTTCTCTCATGAATTGTGACACAGGTAGTATTAGCCAATAATGTCCTGAAAGCAACTGAGAAATGAATCTGAGAGAGAATTTTACTTCAGCAGGACTGAGTTAGGGAGTGTAGACCAGAGATTTCCACTGTGACTGGCATTCTACACATGGGTTAAATACAGAGTTCCCTTCAATCCTAGGTGCAAGAGGGCAGGTCCTAGGAAGACTGGAGCCTGCAGGCCAGTTACCGCTGGAGACCTCATTAACATACCCTTAATGTGGCAAAGATCCAATGAAATTTTCTGTGTGTGCATTGAGGTTAAAGAAAAAAAAAAAAGGTGAGGGGTACTATAAGGACAGCTAACTATGTGTTCCATAGTTATTACTACTAAAACATTTAAAATTAAGACTAATTATCTAGCAAAAACAAAATAATGCTATAAAGAGAATTCTTAATGGATTTGTATTTGCAATGAATCAAGGCTATCTGAGAACACTAGACTGAAGATTTAAAACTCACTTTTTTAAAAAAATATATATTTTATTGATTTTTTTACAGAGAGGCAGGAAGAGGGATAGAGAGCTAGAAACATCAATGAGAGAGAAACATCGATCAGCTGCCTCCTGCACACCCCCTACTGGGGATGTGCCCGCAACCAATGTACATACCCTTAACCGTAATCAAACCTGGGACCTTTCAGTCCGCAGACTGATGCTCTATCCGGTTTCGGCTAAAATTCACTTTTGCATGTACTTTTTGACACGGGAAATACTTTGTTTTAATTAAATAGTTGAAAAAAATTAATTGTTGGCCTCACAATGACAACAATAAAAGGGGGGAAACTTTGAAGTATACTTTTGGTCTATAATAATGAGACAAAATTTCCTGTCATTACAATTTAGCTAAAGAAGTTTAATACTGGGGTTCTTTCCCAATGTTAAATAAAATTCTAGAATATTAAAAACAAAAGCAAAATCTAAAAATACAAAACAAAAAAGAGGCTCAAAACTTTATTAATTTTTGACAGTTTAATATTATAGACTAAATCAGACAAGCTATTTAACTAACAGAAGTACTTAGTATATTCACGGAAGTAGCTCAGCATTTATAGAAATCTTAAAAATTAGGATTTTTGGAGGGAGATAAGAGATCAACCGAAGGACTTGTATACATGCATATAAGTACAACCAATGGACACAAAACTCTGGGGAGAGGGGGTATGTATGGGAGGGAGGGGGCAATGTTAAAATATGTACACAGATAATAATTTAATAAAAAAAAAAAAATTAGGATTTTTTTCTTTTACCTCCTGAAGGTTGTCGAGATTTACGAGGAGACCGGGGTTCTCTCCTGTAAGGATCGTTGGAGCCATATAATTCAATAGTGCCCAGATTGAGGAGTACTGCCTTCTGAAGGTAGTCAACGATCGCAATGCCATTACAATTGCCAAAAACAACCCTGGAACAGGAAAAGAGCAAATACTTTAGCACAAATGAGAATTACAAGAAAATGTAGTATATAATGCTAAAAAGATAACATGAAGAGTCTTGGAGAAAATTCCTCTTCAAACAAAAGCTTTTCACAGATTAAAAAAAAAAATACAGGTGATAAACAGCTCGTAGAACTGTGTAGATCTTTTGCAGACATTAATGATTACAAATTAGTATCATAAAACATTTTTAACAAAAAAATAATTTGGCACTTGAGCAGAGACATAAATCCCTATGCTGGACAATGTGACATCTACTTTTGAGCCTGCTAGGGAAGACGCTCCTTTGCAATGAGAAAGTAAGGGACTGTATCTTTGAAAAAGTTTGGTAATCAACAATGAATAAATTCTTTTCCTTTAAGATCCTTAGCCAGGAGTCGAAAACTGAAATGTACAGAGAGGCTATATAAGTAAGTACAGTAAGCAGCTAAGGACAGTGGTAAACTGGATAGTGTACTACTACCTCCCCTATGAAGAGGAAAAACTTTAACTCAGTTTCAAATGACTTTTGCCAAGCAACAATGGAGAACAGTTCAGATAATCAAATTTTTTTCAGTGGAAACTCTAAATATAGATTTTCAAAGTAAATAATCTTGGCAACAAGTTCAAATTTAAAAAATACACACAAAAAAAGGCTAAATAAATTACAAATGTGAGTCAAGTGAGGCCTACGATCAACTGATTGCAACTTCTTTTGAAATTCCTATTGTTTCCTTTTCTTTTTCTCTCTTTGTTTCCTTTTGGTTGTGGGCAGTAAAATATTAAAAAGGAGGTTTGTGTCCTTACATTGTGGGACAGCAAATAAAAGACATGAAAGAAAAGTATTGCAGACTATAGCCAGTCTTAATTGGGTGCACAACTGCTAGAGATAGAGTAGGTGTAACAGTTACAGGAGGAAGAAGAAGAAGAAATAAGTCCCTAGGGCTAGCATCAAGAAAGGAGACAGTGACCTACACATGCTAAATAGCCCTGGGACTGAACAGTTAGTATGTCGTTTCTCATATCACAATATTGGTTTTAAAAGAGACATTATAATAGAATGTACATATAATTAATATTATATACTTGAAGGCATGAATTAATAAGTATACTTGTACTACAGATAAATACTTGTTAAAATATTATTACTATGCTTTTATAATCTATGCAAGTTAACTTTGGAAATAGAACAAATTATATAGCTGTGGTTGACTATTTACAGATTCAGCTTATAATACACAGTCTTCTGAGTCGATGCTGTTAGATCTGTACTATATTGATTAATCATAAGAAATTTCTGAGAGTATATCCAGGATAGGATATAGTGACTTTAAACCTTTATCTCAAATAATTCATTGGTCCATGAGTCATTTAATTTAATATCAGGAAGCAATATAACCATACCAGGAATAACTAATTCAGAACAGAATTATGTTCCAAATAAATTCCGAATTTGGTCTAAAAGTAGTTATATAGTAACTTTTTTATGTGATACTATAATGAAGGTCATCATTTCTATTAAAATATACGAAATACTATGAAGAGTCTGAGAAATATATAAATTATACTTACAATCCATAGGAAGAATTGACTGCCAGGCTGGTTATTTGTTGTGGTGGTTCTCCACCCACCCACACCAACTGAATAACTAGTTCTGTTTGATAACCTGGAGACTGCTTAAGTGGTGTATTTTTAACTCTGTAATAAGGAAAAACATATTACATTTTATATCTTATTAGCCTATGTAATTAGAGTCATGCATAAATACCTATACAAAATAACTTGTACTAGATATTTTAAAAGTTAATTCTATCCTATACAAGCATTTAATCTAGTTGGAGATCAAACATGTACATAAGTAAAGAAAATAAGAAATCACATATAAGTTACACATATAAAGTTGAGGAGGTAGCAAAGGGGTCGTGAGGAAAGGGAGGAGTGGACGGAAGGGGAGGGAGGGATGAAAGGACGACAGGAACACTAGAAATGAAAAAGGTGCTGTGACATAACATAACACCTGGCTGTGAAAAGAAGCAGGGTTGCTGTCTGCCAGGTAGAGATGAGTAGAAATGCAGACACCCTCTTAAAGGGTCAATGCATAAAATTTTGTGTGCAGCCATTCACATTGGGCTCTGGAAGATGGAGGGCAGGGTAAATTGGAGCTATGTAAGCAGCGGACAGCATTGAGGGCCCTGAGGTTGGAGCTTGGAGGGAAGCCACCCTGATTTCCTATGCTGAGTCATTCTCTCACACCGTGAAGGAAATCTTTCTCCAGTGAACCTTTGCTATCCACATGGCTTTTGCCAGGGTTTGGGGGTGAGGCAGTTGCCCCACTCTGTTGGAAGATCTCTCACTCCACCCTGTGGTCAAGAGCCTGAGGCTAATCAAGACTGATGGTCATGGGACTGTAGGTAGAGGTGGATCTCTAGAGGCTGAGTCTTTGCCTGATATAACTGGGACCTGAGACTAGGAAAAGCAAACTCTAGTGCACATCTTGGTCCATTCCAATGATACCCAGTCCCAGAAAAGCTGTGGAATACAAGCAGTCCTTGGGTTACATCGGACTCAGTGTACATTGTTTTGATGGTGACATAAACAATGTACATTGGTTATGTCACCATCACCCATTTATTTATTAAAAAAAAAAAGTTCCGTCATTTCTACGTACGTATATATGTGCTTTATGTTTTGTATTATTTATTTACCACAAGTAAAGGACAGGAATTGTTATCTTTCTTTTAATTTTTTTTTTATTGTTTCACTTCATTACTGCTGTGTATGTGCTCCATGTGAGTGATGTAGGTGCTTATGTAGGTGGGTTCTGACTTACAGTGAAAATCGTGTTACGTTGTGCCATAGGAACAGATCTCCGACATAACCTGAAGACCTACAGTACTGATAGCTATAAACAGGATACTCAAGGCTAGTCACAGAGTGTGACATTGTCCTGAATTAGAGACTGGGAGTCATAGCAGAGCTACCTAATACCCAGATAAATCCAAACAGGCAGCCAAAATGGGGAGACAAAAAAACAAAAAAAAACAAGCCCCAAATAGAAGAACAAGAAAATTCTCCAGAAGAGCTCTAAATGAAATGGAGATAAGAAATTTATCAGACATCGAGTTCATAATGATGGCAAAGATGTCAACAGTATGTGTATAGATATAGTGACCCTGAAAAAAGACCAGTTGGAAATACAGAATGACACAGCACTAATGAAGAACACAGTGGAAAGAATACACAACAGTTTAGAGGAAGCTGAAGATCAGATCAGTTAATTAGAAGACAGGGTAGAAAAAATATAAGTCAGAAAACCAAAAGAAAAAGCAATTAAAAAAGAGGACAGCTTATAAAACTCCTATTATGTGAAAATTATTACATTTCATATTCTAATATGAAATGTAATAATTTTCATATAATAGGAGTGCCAGAAGGGAAAGTATCACATGAAAGACACGTCTCACATTATTTTACTCATATTTGGAATCTAATAAACAAAATAAATTGATGAACAAAATAGATCCAGAGACAAAGAAGCATGGAATAGACTGTGGAATTTCAGAGGGAAGGCAGAGGATGATGGGCGGGTAGAAAGAGATCAATCAAAGAACTTGTATGCATATATGCATAACCCATGACATAGTCAATAGTATGTGAAGGCCTGGGGTGGGTGGGTTAGAAGAAGTCAATGGGGGGAAAAGGGGACATATGTAATACTTCCAACAATAAAGATGAAAAGAAAATGGCAAAAAAGAAGATAAAAATCTTAGTACTTTAAGGATAAAATCATGCTATATAATCATATTCTTCTTGAGGTCACAGAAAAATAAGTTGGATCAATCAAAATAAAGCACAGATAGACCTGTTCTTATACCACTTTACTCCAACACAGAAAAATGTTACCGTAACTTTACTAATGCATATAACTTACTTAAATTAAAAGGTAATTTCCAAAACATTGAATTTTTTTTATAACTTACTTTAAACAAGGGACATTGTCTCGAAGGCCATCAGAGGAACTGCTACTGGTGGAAGGATGAGACTGAGGCGGGATGGGCTGAGGACTGGTAGCTCCCACTGGTGTTGACAGAGGTGGCGCCTGTTCAGCCTCCGGGGATTCCACATCATTTATCTCATATAACAATCGAACTTCAAGCATCTGTTGTAAAAGTGAGGTACCTTACTCACTCTCAATAAATATGGTTCATTTTATTACAATTTATATACACAAGTGCACTTTAGTGGAAAGAACATTTTTAAAAGTAAAAATTAGCACGATTTCTAAAAAGAAGGATTTAACAAAAAAAAAAAAAAGTGTTGTTTCTAACTCAGCTTCTTAAAAATGGTGTGTATGTATGCAAGTATACACATACACACACATTATGATTTTAGAATTTATGGCACTATGTTAATACCAGATTAGAGTATGCTCATACAAAGATTAGCTTTCTTCAAGTGAAACACAGAATGTATTTAAAGATTTTAATGTTCACTAAGAAGATGTGCATAAAAATATACTACTTTTCAAAAGAAAAGGAAGATGGCAATATAAACAGTGAAGTGTTTTTAAAAATTCTAGACAAAGCTGACTATAAATAATCTTCTAAATAATTCAAAAATTTTTAAACATTAGACATCTGACAATGAAAGTAACTCTGAGAACATTACCGGAATGACTTCTATAATAACTTCTTGTTTGCTGAATCTATAAATAATGACATGAGCTGAAACTCCGGCTATGCATAGCATTCTACTTTCGGGACACCAGGAGATGATTTGAATGGCATACGGATCTTCATCTACAATGTCTGTGTTTGGCTTGTCATCTTTATTTCTTGACTTTTCAAATACTTTAGCTGTCTTTAGTTTATATAATACTTGTAGAGTTACTAGATAAAAGATAATATATGTTAGATAATTTCATACAAAGAACAAATATAAGGTAATATTTAATCAGTTATACTATGTAAAGAAATAGTATATATTTCTTTGAACCATATTTTTATTCCAGTCTACATTTCTCTGTTATACATTTAGATAATACACACACTGTACTTACTCACTGACACACAAAAAAAGTGTACTCATTGTATTCATTAAAAAAAAATCAACATCATGATGAATTTAGATAACCCGAAAAAAAATGAGTAACAAAAGGATTTTGTAAAACATGAATAAAAACAATAAAGAACATTTTGCTTCCTAAAGTAATTTTATAATATTTTCTCTATAAAAGATAAATATAATCTAATGTTAACTGTAAAACAAAGCATAATATATCTGGAGTTAATTGGCTTATGAGTGCTTGCTCTGTATATTTTATAAAAATCAGCCATTCAAAACATCATCTCCTTTTTTGCCATTATATAACCATCATAAATCTCAAAAAGACAATGCAAATTTTGTGGCATAAGTTTAGAATCAGGCACTAAAATTATTCTACAAATTTCTCCTTATTTAAAACATATGCCTGCTTCTCCTATCTCTGAGTTAGGAAGAGGTGGTTTGAAGAAATTTTGAAGAAAGAATGTGAGTACTTATGTTAAGAAGTGCTAATTAATATCCTTAAGAATATCTTCAGTCTATTAAAAATCCTAAATTCAAATACTTGATAAATAGGCATTAAATTTATAGCCTTCAAATTTCAAATTAGAGGATCCAAGATGGCTGCGCCCAGGTGAACACCTAGCCGCAGCCACACACAACAATTTCAATAAAATACAACTAAAATATAAAACGGACATTGCCCAGAACTACAGGAAGGTTGACTGACTGGAAATTCTACAGCGAGAAGCAAGGAGAAAACCAGAAGGAGGCGCGGAGGAGCTGGAAAAGCCCAAGGTACGGAGATACGTGGCGCACAGAGAGGACGGAGCCAGAGAGGAGGGGGAGGCGGAGTGCCTGGCGGTCATTCCCTAGCGGAAAGGAGATAAAACTCCGACTGCTCTGAACCCCAGTTCTAGGCCAGACCCTGGGGACCCAGGCTCATCCATAGGGAGCCGGGCTGTAAGGTGGAACCTGGGGAGCGGCGAAAGGAGGTCCGGGAGGCGCGCACACTGCGCGCAGAGAAGGGACGGTCGGCTGTGCCACGGGATTGCCCTGGCCGGAAGGAGACTGGGGCTCCAGACTGTTCTGAACGCCACCTCCAACTCCACTTCCAACTGAACTGAACCCCAATACCAGGCTCATTGGGGGAGAGCCTAGACTGTTTGGCAGCAGGCGAAAATCGAGGACACCTTTCTCTCAGAGGCGCCGGCAGCAAGCACTGAAGGACCCGCATAGGGCGGGGCTGACGGAAGCCAAAGCTGTAGACTCCACCCTGAAACCCCGCCCCATCAGGGAAGCTGCAAAAATGCAGAGACGAAATAGATCACAAACGAAAGAAATGGAGGACAAAAAGCATCTGGATATAGAGTTCAAATCTACGCTTATAATGTTTTTCAAGAATTTCCTAGAAAAGATGGATAAGACCTATGAGGATATGAAAAGAGATCAACTAGAATTAATAAGGAGTCATCAAGAAATGATAAGGGATCAACAAGAAATAAAGAATACATTGTCTGAAATAAAAATGATTTTACAGAGTCCTAAAAACAGAAGGGAAGATCGCAAGAATCAAGTCAAAGATTTGGAACATAAAGAGCCAGAAGACACTCCTCCACAGAAGCTAGAAGGCAAGAGAATCTAGAAAATTGAAGATAATGTAAGAAACCTCTGGGACAACTACAAGAGAACCAACATCAGAATTATGGGGGTCCCAGAAGATGAGAGAGAGCAAGATATCGAAAACATACTGAAAGAAATAGTGACAGAAAACTTCCCCCACCTGGTGAAAGAATTAGACTTACAAGTCCAGGAAGCGCACAGAACTCCAAACAAAAGGAATCCAAAGAGGACCACACCAAGACACATCATACTTAAAATTCCAAGAGCAAAAGACAAAGAGAGAATATTAAAAGAAGCAAGAGCAAAGAAGGTAGTTACCTATAAAGGAGCACCTATACGATTGTCAGCTGACTTCTCAACAGAAACCATGCAGGCCAGAAGGAAATGGCAAGAAATATTCAAGGTGATGAATGGCAATAACTTACAGCCAAAGATAATCTATCCAGCAAAGCTATCACTCAGAATCGAAGGTCAGATAAAGAGCTTCACTAATAAAAAAAAGCTAAAGGAGTTCATCAACACCAAACCAGAATTATATGAATTGCTGAAGGGGGTTCTTTCAGAAGAGAAAGTAAACAAAGATAAAAATTATGAACAAGAAATACGTAACTATCAACAAGTGAATCTAAAAACCAAGGAAATTAAAAAAAAAAAAAATCTGATGAACAATAGTAACTGTTGAATATAATAGAATCAGAGGTATGGAAGGGGAGTGAACTGACGATTCTTGGGGAAAAGGGGAGTGGGGGGCGTGGGAAGAGACTGAACATAAACTGTGCACCTATGGATGAGGATAATGGGGAGTGGGGAAAGGGCAGAAGGTGGAGTGGGAACCTGGTGGAGGAGAGCAATGGTGGGGGGAAGAAAAGGAACATTTGTAATAATATGAACAATAAAAACTTATTAAAAATTTTTTTTTCAAATTAAATGTTGTTTATGTAGTTATTACAATACAAGCGGTATAACAGCAAAGACTGTATAACATATAATATTGAAGTAATATATATCAATAATATTCAAAATACTTACTTGCAGAAGCATCCCAGAACTTAACAGACCCATCAGCATGCCTATGAAAAGCAAATGAGAAGAATGTGATGGGGGGAAAAAATTAAAGCTTACTTTCTTTTAAATATATTGTTATTTTAAAAGTAGTCACCAAGATGAGAAAAAAGATAAAATTCAGGGTAAATTGTCAGGTTACAGACAATAACTTATTTCTTACTATGTTACAGTATAAAGGAAAGCACTTTTAGTCATGCTCATGTAGTCTTAATTATGTTTAACTATTATTGTTTTATTTGGGGAAACAAACTTTTACTTACCCTGTAATAATTATTTCTGGGTAACTTTGAGCACCCAAACCCCAATTACCTCCATTAATAGGCCACTCCTGAAAAAAAAAAAAAAAAAAAAAAAAAAAAAAAAAAAAAAGGTTATTATATAAAGCAATTTCCAAGCATACCATACATCTTTATATATATATATATCTATGACAATAGTAAACATACTTTGTTTCTAAGAAGGATTTTGTTTATATTTTCTCTAGGAAAGGATTCAGTGTTACCAAACACGTCAATGTGATAAATATAAAACACTGATGCAATAATGTAACATTAAACACTAAAACTCATGTTCAGTACCTTTTTGCTGTAACCTTGACGTTTCTGTCTAGCTCCAACAGAATAAAGTGCAGGAATAAGGTCCACAGGACAATCAGCAAAATATTCACAACATGTAACAGGGGATTCATGTATACTCAAAGGGTAGGGATTTTCAAATATAGGATATCTTTAACAACAGGGAAAGAAAAATATATATTAATTTAACAAATTATTACTTATGATTAATATGATAATGAAAAACTTAAATATGTACAGCTCTGGAATGGAAAATAATTTTAGTTTGATTAATTTAAAGTTAACATCCTATAAAGGTCTGCATAACATATCTGAATTTATATTTTTTCTATTAGGATAGGGTGGTTAGTCTATAGAATTTAGAAATCAACCACATTTAGTAGATTTAACATTTACTATATGCATATATGTAAGAAAATCTTTTATGACAGTTGCTCAAAGAGAATGGTAAACAGAAAATCTATAGTTGGTATTATATACGACACATATACACACACTAAACTAAGTGATTTATATACAATTATCTTATTTATTCTTGCACCAAACTGATTTGACTGAAGAACAAAGACTTCGGAAGAGTAATGTGCCAAAGGCAAGCGAACTATCAAGAAGCAGCAGAGTTTAGAATGCTCTTAATTATTAACCCATAGTATCTCAATGAACAGATGCCTCATTCTTGTATCAGTAGTGCTAATATAAATTTTCAATTCTCCTTTTTTCTCCATCAATGTAATGTCCAGTGCAATATTTAACTTAGAAATGTTCTCTAGTTTTAGTGGTAATCTAAATTATATATTTAATTTTTCCTAGATATAAAATTATATTAAGTAAAGCAAAAAATGCTATAAAAGTAATAAAATTAAAAATCAATGTACTGATCAGCCTACTATTGACAAAAATTAAAAAGTTAAAGGAAAAAATTTTCAGAAAATTCTTTTCTACACTTCAAAATGAAAACAACTGTCATCACTCCTTCCTCAACCATACATTAAAAAACAGAAGATAAAACTCAAACAAACCAACTGGTGCACTTAAAAATTAACAGGCAACTTTTATCTTTATAAATACACTATATAATCCTTAATCATTCTCTTATCACTACACATTTAACTAACACATTTGCTCAATAAAATGCCTACTCACAGGCTACTTGCACAATGTATTCTTTAACAAATATATATTAGTATAGAGCACATGTTCTAAAACTTACCTAACTAAAAATAAAAAATAAAATCATATTAAAAAAAAGTTATTCTAGGGCTTTCATTTAGAAATAATGTTTTAAAAGTCCTTTTTTCCACAACAGTAGTATTACTTTCAGAAAAGAAAAAACAAATATAATTGATTATTACAGGTAGCACATAATTAAGTTGATATGAATTTAGGGATGCCTTAAAATAAAAGAAATAAGACACTTCACTTTTATACTTCAGAGTTTCCCAATATTAATACTAGTCACATTTTGGATCAGATAATTATTGTGGAAAACTGTCTTGTGCCCTGCAGATGTTTAACAGCATTCCTGTCCTCTACCACTAGATGGCAGTAATACCTCCTCCTCTTAATAAAAGTGTCTATGTAACTGTCAAGTATTTCCTGGGGGACAAAATTGTCTCTAGTTGAGAAATACTGACATAATGAATGGGTAGACTTAATTAAAACCATATTTAATGATTATTTCTCAAGAGACATAAGTAGTACAATGTTCTTCGAGTCAAAGAACTTATAACTAAACATAGTATTATCTAAGTTGGAAAAAGCAGAAATATAGTAAATAGCCACAAAAAGTTGCAAAGAAGCTATGATGAGAATTCACAGATTAGACATGAAATGTCTGCTAAAGAGAGAACAGGAAAACGTTTAAAAGGAAAATAAGCCTGACTTTGAAAGTTATATGGATTTTTGATGCCAGTGAAACAAGCAGTGTTTCAACAGCTTGACGCTATTTAAGAAATGACAGGGGAGTGTGATATTTGTTTAACACTCAGTTCAGTGTTCTAGGGATAAGGCACCTGCAGAAAAACAGTAAAAAATCAGGTTGGAATGGTACCCTGAATTCCAACTATATGGTAGCAGGCCAAGATGCTGTTTTTAAATTAAAAATACAGTGGTTTAAAGAGAAGAGTAACAAGATTGGTGATGCATGTAAAATTAATCTGACAATAGCATTGGTGACATACTGCAACAGGAAGTGAATATGGCTGGAGAACCGACAAGAGCTTTATCTGGAAGTAAAGTGTGTAATGGGAACAGTTTTGGATGTGATGATTCTATGTGCCCCCAGGGCACAAGTATTAGATTGAATCATATGAAATTTCAGAAATACAACGAATTTTAACTTAAAAATGAAAACTCTATATAATCAATATACTAAAGAAAATTTGTATATAATTAGAAATGTGCATCTGGAATGTTAAGAGGGCATGCTTATAGCTATAAATGTGATTTTAAAGAAATGCATGCTAAAAGAATCTTTTTCACCACATACAAATATAATTGCTTGTCAAATTCAATTTCTTACCCATTTTGTGCAAGGTCTATAAGTACTAAGTCCTTTTCTAGAAGAACAACAACGGCATATGGTTCCTGAAAATCTGGAATAGGAAAATAATGCATGAATAATAAACATGCAAGAAGACTACACATTACATAATGAATATTTTTGCTTGGATTTTATTTTGTTTCATTTTGTCAAGTATTTAACATTCTCATCTCGTACTTAATATAATTTAAGGCTAGTATTTCCTAAATGAAATAAATCTATATCATAACCAATACAAAATTAACTTAGTTTTTAATGTTAAGAAGCTCATGGTAACTTCTATGGTATTACAAATTACAAGGCAGGACTATGGCCAAGAAACTCAAGATTTAAATCTGAATATCCATAAGAACTCTCATTACTGGATATCTTAGGAACTCAATAGAGTGCTATTATAATATAATCCTATCTTAAATATTTTATTGTGCCTGCTGACTGCAAAATGCATTATACATCTTTACATCTCTATTAGCTTCACATGTAGTAAAAAAGATCCAGATTTAAATTACTATTGAAATTTATGCAAGTTGTGATGGTTAATTTTGTCAACTAGAGGCCTGATGCATGAAATTTGTACAAGGGGCTCGGCCCTTGCAGCCATGGCAGCTTGTCTCGGCCCTTGCAGCTGCAGTGGCTTGCCTTGGCCCTTGCAGGGCCCTCCCGCCCCCCTTCATCCAGAAGGTCATTCAGCTGTCAGGTCTAATTAGCATATTACGCTTTTATTATTATAATTAGATATGTCTTCAGGTGGTGCTCAATTGTTTGGTCAAACATTAGTCTGATATTGCTGTGAATGTATTTTTTTAGCTGTGATTAACATTAAATCAGTAGACTATGAGCAAAGCAGATCATCTTACATAATGTGGGTGGGCCACATCCAATCAGTTAAAAGGCCAAAAGAACAAAATAGGTTTTCTGGGTAAAAAAGCAATTCTGCCTTAAGAATTTAGACTAAAGATTGTAACATCAACTTTGTCCTGAATTTCCAGGCTACAGGCCTGTTCTACAAATTTTACACTTATCAGATTTCACAAATGAATGAACCAATTCCTTAAATTCTCTCTATCTGTATTTATGTCCACTTCTAATGGTTTGTATTTTCTTAGAGAAGCTTGTACAACAGTATTTTACAGATTATTAAAATGTTTCTTTAAAATAAATTATTTTAGATAAAGAGGAAGGGAAGGGGAGAGAGAGGGATGGGGGGGAGAGAGAAAGGGAGGGAGGAAAGAAGGGAGGAAGGGAGGGAGGGGGAGAGAGAGAGAGAGGGGGGGGGAGGGAGGGAGGGAGGGAGAGAGATATCAAGTTGTTGTTCTACTTATTTATGCATCCATTGATAGATTCTTATGTGCCTTGATTGAACCCACAACATGGAGTATTGGGACCCTGCATTAACCAAGTGAGCTACCTGGCGAAGGCTAAAATGTTTCTTAACGTGTATAGTTTTGTTTATCCTACAAAGACACTACTAATATGTTATACTAGACAGATAAAGCTTATTAAACAAAATTAACTTCTAAAATAAAATTTTCAAAGTTATTGAAGGCAGCATCTATTCTCAGAAGAATGAACACAATACAAAAGGAAACTAATAATACATAGGTCTTTGTTCTATTGTAAATGTAGAGAATGAGCTTTAAAGATGCAAAACTTACCATTTGTGTATGGTGTTTCACACAGTGTTAGGAAATCAACAATGGAATAGTCCATTTCTAGCACTGCAGTACTTTTCCCATGCATAACTGTTAAGCAAGGTCTTCTTCCTACAGTATCATATGACAAACCTCCTGATAAAATAATAAAAGGCTCCCTGGAAATAAAATACATAGTTAGGATTATAAATAGCATGGTAGAGTCTAATTATGTTGCTATATCATAAATGTTTACTTAGTGAAATAATCAAATCTTAAATTCCAACATTTTTATGCATCATTTACATAATTGAATACTTCCATGTGGATTTTTAATTGTACTAAGTAAGACCCAGGTGGATTCCTGAAAAGGAACCTACAGTTAAGAATGAACACCGATCACATTTGACTCTCAAACCTCCTTTTGGCCCTTAAAATATTTTCCATTATCCTTTTATAGTATAGTTGTCAAAATTCTTTCTCTGGGTTTCTGCTAAGTCTCTTTAATGGACTTCCATTACCCTGTTTCCCCAAAAATAAGACAGTGTCTTATATTAATTTTTGCTCCCAAAGATGCAATAGGTCTTATTTTCAGGGGATGTCTTATTTTTCCATGAAGAAGAATACGGTACACATTGTTAAATGAAAATAAAGGAAATTTATTACCTGTATACGGTAGTACGGTAATTGTCAACACAAACCAGACAAACTGTGAATCCTACAGTATCAAGAATTTACTCATTTACTCAATGACAATCATGTCATCATCTTCTGGAACATCATCATAACAATCCAATTCCTGAATTTCCTGGTGAATTTCTTGTGACTCATTTCTTTCAGAATCAGTGGACCAAATCTCTCATGTTTAGCCTAGGGGGGACCTTATATTTGGGGCGATGCCTTATATTTCACTCAGAAGGAAACCTGTAAGTAGGTCTTATTTTCGGAGGATGTTTTATTTTCGGGGAAACACAGTTGCTACTTACATCTATTGCTGAATTCACAGAATACATGTTTTAATCTAGTAATTTCTATTGTGAAACCACCATTTATTTTCCTTGAATGCCCCTACATCCTGGCTTAAAATTGAAATGAGGTTAATAAGTATGCATACAAATTAATCCTTCTTATAATATATATCTTCTAATCTTTCTTCTATTATAATTCTAATAATCTTTCTATACCAATGCTTAACCTCTCCTCTACAAACACTTTGGAACATGATATCCTATGTTTCCTTTTTCTCCCCTCCCCCCCTGTTCAGAATCTACTAAACCTCCTTTTCTAACTTGTTATTTTGGTATCTTCAGGATAAAATAACATTCCAGGGAGCCTTGGCTCTAAAGGGTTCTGAACTATCAGGGAATGATTCTGTATGCGCTCATTTTTCTTAAACTTAAGCCCATCACCTTCATTGCAGCAACCACCAATGGCTGAATATACTTCGTGGGTTCAAACAAAGTTAACAAGTGAAACTTGCCAACGATCTCAAAAATAATTTTATACCAGTATACTTAAAATATGTGATATCAGTTTTAATTTAGCAATAATGAATTAAAAACTAATATAGGAAAAAGCTTTACAACAGAGGGATCTCAGCACTTTAAACTGATAAAAAGCAGTAGACAAAACTCAGTAAATACCACAGAATTTATATACGTATTAAATGTATCCTAATGACAAAAGGCAGAGCTCTCATTCTAGTCATCTTAGTTTTAGAGTTATGTGAATTATACTATAAGTATTATTTTAAGTCAATTATTATCTTACAATTAAGAAATGGAGTAACTTATCCTAAATAGTTTTTGTTTAAGGTTTGAATTATAAGACTGGGAGAAACTGTTCTAGTTTTGAGAGAATGAAGATAGTAAAAATAAATCTGGGAGAATCTTAAGAATAACTGTCTCTGAAGACAGTGATAAAATGAGAATTAGGATTTTAAGGTTGGAACTTTCTAACATAGTAAAATTAATATGAAAACAGGGAAGGTTATCTCATGAGCCCTTTGAAATTTTAAATCTATGGACTCAAAGAGGTCTTCCACCATTAGGGGCAATTATTTGTAAATCTTCCTGTGGATTTTTCCTGAACAGTTACTAAGACCAAGTATCATGATCCAAGGAGATACCGTGAAATCTAATCTGGACTTCATCAATTTAGAATTAAATGTGTATCCTGGAAATGATCTATGAAGCTCTCCTCTGAGTAGCTAGGGTTACTTTCATTTAATTATCCAGCCTCACAGAGGCATAGATAGACCTCTCAGTTCACAACAGTGGGAATAAATGTAATAAGTATGACTTAATTAATGTTAAATTAAAGACGTTCTGATAAACTAGGAAATTTAAAAGTGAATCCAGGTCTCGGTAAACTGAGTGACTTGCAAATTGTTAGGACAGTTCTATCCTAGCCGACACTATCTGTGAGAATACAGTGTCCTGATTAAGAACTTCAGCTCCAGATACAAGCTGGGCTCAAATTCTAGCTGTGACTTCACAGGGCAAGCTAATTTAACTTAAGCGCTCTATAATTCAATATCTATATGGAGACAATAAAAATACCCAATCCACAGTGCAGTAATGAGAATTATGAAAGACAACAAATTCAAATTGCAAAGCAGACTACCTGGCATATAGTAAGCAAATAATGGATGTTCACTTCACCTAACAAATATTTTTCTTCTTGATGCTTGGACACCAAGCCACTTAAGGGTCTTGAGTTCAAGATATTAAATGCTATTTTTGTTTCAAGTAAGGTCATGAGCATTGCTACGACAATGCAAAAGAAAACTGCTTTTGCTTCGGAAAGCAGGCATGGCGTCCAAATGAGTTTCTTTCCTTGCTGGTATGGCTTAATCTTGAGGCTTGGTGGTAAGTGTAAACAGAGAATAGGTTTCATTAAAAAGGAAGTGTAGCGTGATTAAGAACACAGGCTTAATTAAATCTGGGCTCTTCAGCTTATGAGCTGCATGATCCTGGACAAGTTGCTCAGCCTCTCTGCTTCAATGTCCTCATGTGCTACAACAATCTTGTACAGAGGATGTTTGTTTTGGGGCTTTGAAAAGTTAGGATTCTTTCATTGGAAACAAGGCCCCAGGAAAAAGTTTGAAAAAGTTTGTAGCAAGTTTGAGAATGTTGTTAAAATAGACTTAGATATTTTCAGAACCAGAATATCACAAATGTACCCTGAGTTTTTAGTCTGTGCTTTTTCATATTCTTATATAGGTAATCCACATACATCTTTTAGTTCACATGTAAAATTGAAACTTAAGAAAACAGTGTTGTGGCGGAAACCGGTTTGGCTCAGTGGATAGAGCGTCGGCCTGTGGACTGAAAGGTCCCGGGTTCGATTCCGGGCAAGGGCATGTACCGTGGTTGCGGGCACATCCCCAGTAGGGGGTGTGCAAGAGGCAGCTGATTGATGATTCTCTCTCATGGATGTTTCTGACTATCCCTCTCTTCCTCTCTGTAAAAAATCAATAAAATATATATAAAGAAAAAGAAAACAGTGTTGTGAGTTTGAGGGGAAGGGGATGTAGGTGGAAAAGGGCATAGATGGGAGAAAGATGACAGAAAAGATAAAATAAAATAAATCACCTTATCTTCTAAACCACGTTCTGGCACCAGATAGAGTGAGGGATATACAAGAACCCCAAAAGTTTTCCTTAAAGATAAACTTAAATACATATATCATGTGTGCATATGTGTGTTCATAAAAAGGCTCAGCAGACTGTGGCCTGTTGCCTATTTCTGAAAACTAAGAATGGCTTTTACATTTTTAAATAGTTGAAAAAATACTCAAATGAAAAATATTTCATGACACATGAAAACTATATCAAATTCAAATTTCAGTGTCTGTAAATAAAGTTTTATTGGAACACAGTTGCATTCATTTACTTATGAACTGCCTATGTCTGCTACTGCACTTCAAAGGCAGAGTTGAATATTAATAGTTGTAACAGACACCTATATGGCCTTTTGTTACATAGAAGGCCTAAAATATAAACTCTCTGGCTCCATACAGAAAAGGTTTGCCACAGCAAGTGTTATGATAAAATGGGATAAATTAATCTCTTAGTTGTGATTTTTGTGATTTTCCAAATGTAACTAAATTGCCAAATTATATTATGATTATACACACTTTTAGGTTCCCTAACAGAGATGCTTCCCCCCAAACTGGTGATTCTTTAATGGTGGTCCATTTCCTAAGAGAAACTTACTCTTCTAATGATCTGTATGTAGTGCAGAACTCCCAGGAGTTCAATGGAGTACCTGCTTGAAAATTTGAACCCATCCAGAGTTGCTTCTTGTTGAAAACCTGGCCTTGCCTACAACTTCTTGTGTTGTCCACAAGTGAAAAGAATGTGTAGAAGTAGAGGAGAAAAGGAACTAGAATTTAATCAAACACCTGCCATGTGCCAAACACACTGTATTTCTTTTAGTTCTTCACAACAATGTTATGAAGCTAGGGTTACTATTCCTATATCACTGAGGTAAGGAGAGACCGTCAAGGAGGTTAAGCATCTTGCTGAATACATTAAGTGGCAGAACTGAGATTTGGACCCCAAACCTGAGTCATTTCCACTAATCAGGGGTTTTCCTGAGTCATTTCCACTAATCAGGGGTTTTCAAATATTATAATTATGATGCATTGTAAGCAGTGCATTTTACTTCATAACACAATATACAGACACATAAATGTATACAACTGAACGAAAGTTTCATGAACCAATACTTACCCTTAAAATGTACAGTGCACTCTGCTATTTCCTATTCTAGTCTATAAGTTAACAATCAATGATCACAATCAACAAAATTATTTTCACAACCCACTAACTGAATACCATTACCTGGTGTCTAAAAATAAATAAATCACTGCCCTAAATCTCAAGCTTGGGAAGAATGTTAATGAGGTTCTGTAACTAGTATAAAGGCTGGTCAACCTTGCCACTCAGACACCTGCTTTGTGAATGCAAAATCAGAGAATAATTACATTTTAGAAGTTTTTCAGAGGTTATCCAATGCTATTTTGAGACAACGGATATGTGAGACAACTGATTTAAAGAGTATGTTCAAATGTTTTATATAAATTTATTTAATCTTCATAACAATTCTGTGAGATAGATATCACTATTCTCAGAGGCACAGAAAACTCAGTTAATTTCCCAAGACTGCACAGTGAGTGAAGAGCTGTTGAGACCCAGATGATTCAGTTCGAGTTCACTCTTAATCACCCTGCTCTAGCACCATTCCCTGCAGCACTTCACACCCAAGTCACATTCATTTTTTAAAGGAACAACCTTAACAGAATCAACATTATACTTTTGACTTTTTAAAAAGCACTGGCCATGTAAAAAATATAGCCATATCTTTAATAACAAGAGTATTAAAATGTTATATTAATGATATTGTCACTATTCCTACGTCTCATCTGTCTTGGTATAATATATACTTTATTTTATTAGAAAATAAAAATTACCCATCTTGATTGCATGTTTTTTGTCAGAATTTATCTATGCTGCAGAGTTAAACTATGCTTTATCATGAACAGGTAAAAGCTAATTCTTTATGGATATGTTTTTCTAAACACCAGCCTATCATTTTCTTCCTCACTTTCAGTCACACTATGCTAAGAGCTGGACAATTACAAGTGAGACAGTTATATCCCATGCTTTCATTGAGATGAAGACATACTTTAATTATTAATCACCAAAATAAGTTCTAGAAAAGAAAGATAAAGTGAGGTTTGATATTGTAGTATACTACTGGGGAACCCAACCTAGTCAACATGGCCAAAACATATTTAAAGTAGTGACATTTATGCTGAGCTATAAAGGATGGGAGGGAATTGTGCCTAGAATGATTTCCAGTAAAGAGGAGAAAATGCAGAAGATCCTAGAAGGGAAGAATGGCTCTTCTAACAAACTTTGGTAATTTGTCAACAGGAACCAATAGAGCACACATTCTGTTGGCACTTGCCCAAGACACTTGCGAGGAACAGGAAAAAGGTGAGAGCTGTCTAGCTGACTCAGCTGAGGGTGACTCTACTCTAGGTGGGAGGGGAAGTGCAGTAATTTGTCAATATTGGCTACATATTCAAATTCTAAGGACCTATGTCAAGGAAAGAGGCCATGGAATAAGGAAAAAAGAAGCCGTTTAACTTTGAATGTCATAAGGTGGAAAAAGAAATTGGAAAGCTAGAGAAGACTGTGATAAGAGGATGATCCTACTGATTTGTTTTATAGAATCTACAAATGCATACAAAACAGGTAAACTTTTTTTTTTTTTTCCATTTTAGATCCTATAAAAGGAAAAGTATTGCTGCCATCCTAGAAGAAACTGGGAATTCATAAATATTACCATTATTCAGGAGTGAAAATGGGAACAGAGAGAGAGGAAAAAAAATCTTCCCTGGACTTTTGCCTTTGCTGCCAATCAATATCTGTTAAAATGAACAGATAATTTAGAAAATAACTAGGATTGTTAGTTTAAATGTTGAGACAATTCATTTTATGTTGTACTAGAAGCCTGGTGCATGAAATTCGTGCACGGGGGGGGGGGGGGGGGTTCTGGGGTGGGAGTGGGAGGGGGAGTGTCCCTCAGCCCAGCCTGTGCTCTCTTGCAGTCTAGGAGCCCTCAGGGAATGTCTGACTGACGTCTTTGGTTGGGTGGGGTGTGTGTGTGAGGGAGGCGGGCCTAAGCTGGCAGTCAGACATCCTTAGTGCTGCCATGGAGTATCCTGCCACCGCTGCTGCACTTGCCAGCCGTGAGCCTGGTTCAGGGCTTCTGGCTGAGCGGTGCTCTCCCTGTGGGAGCACACTTACCACTAGGGACAGCTCCTGCACTGAGTATCTGCTCCTTGGTGGTCAGTGTGCGTCATAGTGACTGGTCATTCCAGCAACTGGTTGTTCTGCTGTTCAGTCAATTTGCATATTAGCCTTTTATTATATAGGATTAAATACAGGAGTTTTTTTTGTTTCACCCAGCCCCCTCACTTCCTCTCCTGCCATATTTTTATTATTTATGTTCCTTTGCCAGTGGACAAATGTAGCAAATAAAAGAAACAATTGATAGTAGGAAGTTTCCTAATAAAAATAAGGGCGGCCATTTATAGAAAGTTTAATATGTGCTAGGTAGACACTGTGTGAAATGTTTTAAATATATAATTATCTTGAGTTATCACAACAACCATTTGACCTATTATCACATTTATGTCATCAATGAGGAAATTAAAGCACAAAGTCAAATAGCTCTGTGCCAAAGATCACACAGTAAGGGATGCCATAGTCAATTAAGCCAATGCTGCTTCTCTTAAAGTACATTCTACCTATTGTCAGAACACAGTATATCTGCTGGATTCCAGAGGAATGCTAAAGAGGCTCAAGGGGAAAAAATATCTATCTAAGAACCAAAATTTGAGACTGCTGGACTATATATACTACATAAGTTCATTCTCTTACATGGCTATAGAAGTAGAACTACATGTTTTTTTCTGGGAAACTAGAACATAAGCAAAAGAACTACTTTAAAGTATAAAGAGATGTAGAATTAGAAAAATAAATTAAATTTTCCCCCCTAAATTATATTTTAAAATATAACACTTGGTGCAAACAAAAAATATATGTAAGGTATATAAAGTGTAAAAACCATTTAATTCTTATATTTAATTTATATATAGAGGCAATCAATGTCTTCAAATTCAACTAATTTCCTTTAATATTAAACTGTACTTATTTTTTGAACTGCCAAATATTCTTATAATGAGATTTAAGTTTTGAAGAATACATATAAAATTTCACAATTAATATATATAATATAAATAGGTTAATTTTAAATCATTTTTTTTCTTCATTGATATTTTGCAATTTTCAGTAGTGAATAAACTCTATGTTAACTGAAGACTAATCTACTAGAATGTATAAAGTTTGATATGAAAAATAATTCATACTTTCCAGGATATATAACAAAACTGCTAAAGACAGAGAAAACATAAAAATGGATTTTATCCTAAATTTACCAATTTTAGTTATTTTGTGAAATAAAGAAAGTATAAAATTTAAGACAGAGATAGACCATTCTAAAGTAGGTCTTTAGCCTTAGTGCTATGTGAGCAATTATATACAATGAACATTGGCAATGAAATAAAATCTTACCCAGATCTAGACGTTTTGAATTCCACCTTGAGGATAGGTTTGCATGGTTCTGGCTTCTTCCCATCCTTTAACTGTTTTCCTAAAATATATTTTCCTGTATTAAATTCTAAAATTCTAAGTTACTCTAAATTCTTACATTGATAGCTTATAAAGTGAAATATAATGAAATCCATCATGAAACATTAAAAAGTGATTCTGGTAGAATTATTTAATACAAAATATTTTAAATAACCAAGTAAATTTATTGCTTGAAATTCAGTGCTAAAAAGTAAAAAAAAAAATGAATAATTTTATAACAACACTTATGCAATATAATTCTAGTAAGAGAAATTGACAGTCTTCCCAATGTTTTTAATTTTAGAAAAGAAAAATAAAATTTCAATTTACTCAATTAATTCAAGTTTTAAGATAGCCAAATTTGAGAAAAAGAAATATAAATCAGTTTTTTACCCAAGTGTGACAGGTTAAACCCTATGCTAATAAATTCATTTATATTTATTCTCCTGAAGTAAAATCCATCTGTTGTAATATCTAGAAGGCGGCTATAATATGTATCAGGGAATCATACTGTCCAAAAATTCTGAATATTTAAAAAAAAATTGTTGATTTCTGTTATCTATTTCTACAAGTTCATATAGAAACAACTTAGAAACACATAAAGAAAATAAGGTATCTGTGCCCATTCCTTAGAGACTAATCATTTTAAAGAATATTTTTCTTGGATCCCAAACACACGCTCCTACCCCAACAATTATCTTTCTTCTCAGTTTCCCCATCTCCAGAGTACCTATCTTATTCTAATAGACTTTTATATTACATTTGCGTTTGTCTCACCAACAAGAATAAATGTAAATTACCTGAAGGCAAAGGTTTCTATGCTTTCTGTTGATGTATATACCTGATGATAAAACATTGTTTGGCATACAGTGGGTGCTCAGTAACTATTTAATAAATGAATAATAATTTTTCCTTTGGATTAATTCCTAAAAAGGGGACATGTGAGTAGAACTGTATTCCAGAAAGACTGTACCAATTTATACTTCCATCAGCGATGTAGTATTTTGCCACACCTTACCAAAACAGTTTTTTCTGATTTGATAGGTGGAAAGGGAATCTCATTTTAATTTTCATTTTTAATCCCTAACTATTCTTAGGCTTATTAGTCATCTGTATTTCTTTTAAAAATAGCTTATATCTTTTATCCATGTTTGTATGTAATCTCCACATTTAAAAATAAATTTAATACTCAAAGGTCATTAACATTGTACCTATCATATATTGCTAATATTTTCCCTGGTGTCATTTGTAACTGAATTCTTAGCAGTTTTAAGAAATTACACATTTTTAAATGTACAGATTTAAATAATGAAATCTATCAGTCTTGTCATGTTTCCAGTTAAGAAAACTTAAAACCCCAAAATATAAATTCTTCCAAAACTAATTTATAAATGTAATGTAATCAGAATCCCCAAAGCCTTTCTTGAATTTGATTAAAATGGGGGACTCAATGCCTAAGAACAGCTAAGGAAACAGGGAAATGAGATTAACTTCCACAATGACAGTAAGGACCTCCGTAACCTCGCTTTCCCATAGAAATTGAAATACTAGCAAAACAACTAAAGTTAAATTCTTCAAAATGCTGGAAATTAACCAAAGTCACAAAACAAGAACATTGTCTACTCCATAAAAACAACTGTACCTCAGAGACAAGGAGGACTGACACATTTTGATGGAGTGCTTATTCCCATCCCATTCACTCCTAACTAGGTGGCCAGGAAGAGATAGGAAAAGGAATCAGCAAACACAGAAGACTCTTTTTTTCTTTTCTTTTGCAGTTCTAATAAAACCAGCTTCCCATGAGTACAATTAACATTTTATCCCAACTTGCAGCTGCCTGGAAAGCCATACTCCCAAGATGCTGTGCAATTTTACTTGATACAGATACCAGCTCAGAGAGACAAAATACCTTACCCTGTAGGGCATCAGAAATAATACAACCTGCTGGCAATATCTAGCTGCCCAAGGCTGTGGTTTCAGTTGAAACACTTAAGAAAGAGTCTGCGTAGGAATGTAAAAGAAAAATCCTCCAAAACTAGACATATTCCTGGGGATCAAAAAGGCTGCATACATGTATAAGGCCGCATTCAATCCCAGGAAAGACCTGGGAAAGGAGAAGGCCAAGGTCTCTGTCACTCATCTTTGGGCAACTTTGAGACCGTGAGCAAACAGGAAGTTACAAAATTAAATGGGAGTTACTGCTGGCAGGAACACTAGAAAAGAGAAACTGATGGCTAGTGGAAATATAGAGGGCACAGCCTTTTTTTGAAAGCAGTCTGAGAACATTTATTAGGAATTGAGAACAATTTCTATAAAATGTGTACAGGATAGTAATGGCAATCAGTAGGGATCAAGAACTGAAAACAAAGTGAATGCCCATTAATTTGGAAATGCTGAATAAATTGGCTACATTACATGGCCATTAAAATGAAGAAATTAAGAGTTATGCCAGATAATATGGAAGAGATTCCTAAAGTACAGTGGATTAAGAAAAACAAAATGCAAAAGAATCCCAATATAATTCTACTTTATGTAAAACAATAATAAAAAATCATGGTTATAAATTATTAATATGTATGATTTTAGAAAAAAAATATATACATTTTAGAACACCTGTACAATTTTTAACATAGCTATTAGGGCAGGAAAGAGGATTGATTGGGTTGCAAATGTGGATAAAGATTGAGGGAGAAGGAACTTGTATGGTATGATCCCATTTGTGTATAATGAGGTACACATGTATGTCTACAAAAACCTATCAGCCTTTTTTGTCTTTTCCATCTTTGGTTTCTTGCTTAGGAAGCCCTTCTCCACATAAAAATCATATACACTTTCTTTGCAATTTTTTGTAATTGCTTTATATTTCCCTTATTATATTTAATTATTGATTTCCAAGTATGTTTTGGTGTAGGGAAGTTACTTTTCCCCTATTTAATTAATACATTATCAGTCATCTCAGTGCAAATTTAATATTTTGAGCTATAACTGTGAGAGAATAAAGTGCACATAACTAAAGTGTAGCATTTATAGCTTTCTTCAATACTATAAAATATCACCTTTATTACATAAAATTTTTATAGATATGTGAATGCCAACTGGTATTGTAGCATCTAATCTTGCCTTAAGATCCCAGGAGATCACTTCTTCGTTACACAGAAATGATGGTGCAGTGGAATCTTAAATCTCTGGCACCCCAACATATAAGAACCAAGAAGTGACTAATGATGGAGGTAAGTAGAACACCAGACTACAGGACTGAAAAGGACTCCTCGGAGAGAAGACTAGACTGTTGAGGTGGAAGAGGGAATTGAGGAAAAAAGAAAGGTATGAGGGCAAAATAAGGAAGTTTAAATATGAAAAGAAGTCCCTTGTGCTGTATAAGAAACGTAAGAACATCAACCTCTATTTCAATCTGTTGAGAGACACAGGACCTTCCAAGTAAAGCATTTAAATGTTTGCTCTGAAGAAGGCCACCATCAGACTTTTATCTTCTACCACCCAAAGCTCTAATGGGAGTGTCAGACTGATATAATCTGGAATTACAGATGCAAATTTTACAAATGCTTTAAAAAATTATTGTAACATACTTTTAATAAAGTAAAACAATGATTCAGAGATAACTCAACTTAACTTACTTCAATATTCGCTTGTAATCTTTCAATGGCTAGAACAATTTTCAAAGAAGGGTGTTTTATTTGCTGAAACCTTTTCAAGTCTGAGCTTATATATATTACATAAAACTTGGCTAGGTACAAAATTCTTACCTTTTTGTTTTGCTTAGTAGTCTTTTGACATTGCTCTATTGTGTATAGCATTTAAACTTAAAGTTTAAAGCAATCTAATTTTTATTTCTTTATAAGTAAATGTTTTCCTATCCCCTGCTAGAATACTAACAGCATATTTTCATTAACTCTGTAAATCAAAAATGTTGCAGTTTTTTTTATAGTGATCTTCATTAACCCTGCTTGGTAGTTAGTCCTTTTGATGTACATACTGTGTTTCCATGTCTCCTTCCCCCTCACCTCAGATCTTAAAAGTATATTTCACCAATTATTGCTTATGTTTCAAAAGGTTTATTTACCAGTAATCCAAGATTAACCATTTTCTAAATCAAATCAAATAATAAGGCACTAGCTAATATTTTATAAAGCATATGTCAATTAAAGGATGCTTACAAGATCACCAGATTTCACCACTAGGTGTCATCTTACTTCTTACTTGCTATGCCACCTGAGTAGCAAAAATCTGTGCTTGTTCTTTCAACTGCCTGTGGATTACCTTGATAAATTGTTGAAAATATCTAGTTAATTATAAAACTTCACTGGATAAATCACATAAAACTCAATGTATGATTTCTTTTTGTCTCTTACTATGCCCTGCTTCCCACTCCTGTAAGCCATCCAACCACAGAGAATTAATTGGTCCAACTACTGTTGATTCTAATTCCAAAATTTTATTCAGGTATGCCCAGTTCTTCCTATTTGCTGTCACAAATGAATTCTTCATTATTTATTGTTTACTAATACAATGGTTCCCTAATTGGCCTCCCAGTTCACTTCCTAGTTCTGCCCCCAGTTCACTGGATACATTACCAACAAAGTAATGTTTCCAAAATGTAAATGTCACATTTGTCATAGTAAAATCATTTACCAGTCACCATCCTGAAAGCCAAACTCTTCAGTATATTATGATATATATTAAAATCTTGATATGTGTCTCTCTGTGTTTCCTACTCCTTTCCCAAAGGAAGTTTAAATTCTGGTTTTATTAAACTATTCGCAATTTTCCAAGAACACTGTGTTTTTTATTATATCTTTGTATCGCCTGACTAAAATGACCATTTATGTTCCTTTTTACCTCATAAAACCCACTCATCCTTTATGATCAGGCTCATATAACCTGAATTTGTGAAATCTTCCTACATTCTCTTTATCCAAAGACTTATTTCTGTTTCCACATATTATGCATGCTTTCATCAGCATTTATTATAATGCAATAGTTAACATTTTTATAGATAATTTT